GAGGCGTCATTCGTTAAAGGTCCAGATTTGTGCAGGATTTTTTTCCCGTGTATGACCAGTCAGGTTCTAACAAGTCAACGAACCCCTACCATGCAATATACGTCATACAATCACCATACATCTGGAACGACCCTAAAGCAGTTACAGAATATTGATGCCCTTTTTCTATCCCGCAATGTCAACTGCTGACAACACCCTACCTTTTCAGGCTATCAGGAGATGTGCATATTTTGGGCTGATCGTGCAAAACAAAACTTGTATAGACGTTACGTGTGGCGAAATCGACCCGACGTTTGCGCATCATCGCGATAGTTCAAACGGCATAAGCTCCGGACACAGGTCGCTGACGTAGTTTGGTCGTGGCTTATTGAAAAGGTGAGATTTTGTGCTACAGATTGGTGCCAGTTTTTTCGCTTTCGCGACGCCAATATATTTTTTGTAGGCGCTGATAGTTGTTTTTTCGTCCGTGCACTAACCTGAGGTTTTCTGCTACCTCCAACACGTTGGCACCATGAAAGTGCAATATAAGTGTCACACATTTGCGTTGCCCACATACTGGTGTACTGTGAGTGTTCGAGCGTCCATGCTGACTGACCTTTACTCGCAGTGATGCCTATGCGAGGTGGCGTTGGGGGCGATTTGACCAACCTCGAAAGCTAGAGCCTAGCGAGGCTGACTTGCATTCCCGCTGCGATTCTTCCACATCGACGTTCTCTGCCGTATGGTGGAGCTCCAGAGCCGGGCCCGAGCCGGAGCTCAGCTTCTAGTTTTGTGCCTGATAGCAAGATGTAGCTGATCCAATTCGGAACCTTGAGTAGAGGCTCATCACTCGTTACGGGCAATGCTTTGATAATACCCACTCCGAGCTCCAGTTGCTCATCATGAGGTTGATTCACATACTTGTTCACGCCGCAGTCATTGATGCCTAAAGCTCCAGGGCCCTCCGGTGGCCCTTCAAAAGAATCTGCCTTAACAGCATCCAGAAAAACGGACAGCACATAAATATACATAGCAAGCGCCTTTTGGTAACAGGTTTGCGTAGTACACATAATTGCAGGAGCCATATTGAAGAAAAACTTATTCGCAACTGATGTTTGGCCAGCTCGAGACAGCAGTTGAATGACAGAGCACGGTACTATCAGCTCCAGAAGGAAATTCTGGAGATACATACGAGCATTGTCGTGCTCCTCGGACAACTTCAGCATACTTTTTCGAATGGCTCGCCCAATCTCAAAGGACCTCGGAGTATCCTCCTTGGTCACTCGTATCTTAGAGCCAGCATCAATCAGACTCCTCTGCACCATCTCAGTCGCGTTATCAGATCTCTTCATCTCATCTTGCAGTACTGGATCCTCAACCTTGACACTCTTCACACAGCAATGACGATTGCCACCTTTGATGTGTCAAGAACTCGTCGATTCTTCCGCAGGTTCCTCACATCTATCCAATTGTTGCAGCACCACTTCGATAGCCCAGCTCGACCGTCTGCAATGAGGTATTCAAATATAGCATCTTCCATGATCTTCTTGAGAGCGAGAATGGCGCCCACTTTCAGATCGTGGAAACCCGCGGCGCCTGGGAGGGGAAACAACGCAGGACTATCGCCACGCCCATTTCGACCTATAAACTCGTCCCAAAAGATTGTGAAGACTAGATAATCGCCGCTCGCGGTGATTAACTTCGAAGGAGATTGAGCAGCTAGATCTCCACATCCCGTATGACCGCCGTTGCGTTTGACGCTTTGCAGTCGCAAAGTCTTGCGACAATAACTTGACTGTTAGAAGCGGGCTTGGCATCTAGACTCTTCATCATGAGATTTAGATAAGAGGGCTGCGGGCAATCAGGAGTATCCACATCTGCAATAAGCGAGCTTCGATGTTCCCATATCTGACCGAGTGTAATTTCACTAAAGGGGACGAGAACGGGGTGATCTGCATCGGGAACGTAGTTGTAGTGCAATAAGGGATTGCACAAGGGCGTGAAGGGAGAAGAAACTAAGTTGGAATGTGAATACTGTAGTCCGGGATTGGAGGACACACGTGTGAATATTTGCACTGTTTTTATTTTTATCATTTAATTTTATTTAGTTAATTAGTTTCCATTAATTTAGCTGACAGTAGATTAGATCTAGGATTCAGAGCCACGAGCTACTGTAGTGGCTTCGGCGGGGCGATCTATACACATGCTCCTTGGCCACCAAGTCAGTAAAAGTAACCCGAGTTGGCGGAGTTGAATGTCGCCTTGGTCGAAGTCCGTCTCTACCAAGACGCTCCCTTTTTCCTAAGCCTGCGGCATCCTTCAGCGCAGGGGGGTCCCCTTTCTTTTTCCTTTATTTCCCTATCCCAATTTCCCTATCCTAATTTCCCTTAATCTTGAGTTGGTCTCACCTTGTAGGATTGCGATCCGCAACGTGACGTCATTAGCCATCGGGCTTCTGTGTTGGTGCACCAGTGGTGCTTTTCTCAAAGTTGGTTCCATCGGAATCTGGTTGGGACCGATCCGGTGTTGGTACTTTGCTATCCGGCAGTACGACGGTGTAGCGCTGCTACGTTTTCTTCTTTCCCGACGGGCTACGTTGTGACGTCCCCGTCGAAGACCTTATCAAGGGTATAAGGTATCAAGGCGCTCCACGAGTATTGGATTTACGACCCAGCGGGTTCGGTCTGCCTAGACACCCCGCACTCGTTGAGCATTTGCCTTTTCAAGTCTTTACCACACCGATAATCCCGGACCGGGCTTTTCTTCCTTTGCCCCCCCTTTTCAGGGATGCGAGCTATTGCAGGCCGCAAGCCCGCATAAAGGGAAAGGGAGCTCCGAACACTCCGTAGCATTGCGCCGCCGGCTGCTTTGGTTGTTTCGTTTGTTTGTTTGTTTTCGGGCCGTGAGGGTCTTCGATCTTGCCCACTGCCTACCAGGCGCATTGCACCACAGTAGTGATCGACGAACTCCTTGCGATCTTTGAAGAGCTCACGTACTCCTCGATATCGCGAATCTACGTCGTAGCGACTGCTTTTCATATCTGGAAACGTTCGCTCGTACGATTCGAACTGCATTAAGTGCATGCCTGCAGTATCTCGCCCGTACGTGTTCAGTCCCTGAGAAACGGCGCGGTCTAAATTATCTGCTTGAAGCACGGTCGCGGAGTTGGGCCCCACGTGCTGAAAGGGCCGGGCCTGATGCTGTAGACGCGCTTGTTCAAAGTCATTCTGCATAGCAACTGTTGCGTGATAAAACGAACAGAAGCCCAATCGAGTTATGTAGGTCTGCGAGACCCGGACCGACTCATGTGAACCTTCGACCAGACACCAATGGCCGTTGGTCCACTTTTCTGCGTTCTCGTATGCACACGGCTCTCGAGATTAACCACAGCACGACGAAAAAGATTCACCTGGGACGGCGAAAGGTCCAAGAGGATGCCTCCAGGTTACGCTTCAAGCGTATCGGCGATGTTGCCTAGCGGCCAGATGGCCTGAGACCTGTTTTTTCATAAAGATCGCGAGCGGCAATTTTCTGCAGCCAAAGAGCCTCTTGGCGCCCAGACTCCAGGTTATAAATCGTATAAGACGGGTAAGGAGGGCTGAAGAGGGACAAGAGCTCTCGAAGTGTCCACAGCCCTAGTTGAAACTTCTTTTTCGTCCCATCAAATGCTGCGCCAATGCGAACGAGTTCGTTATCTTCGTCGAAAGAATGTTTGAGCCTCGTCACAACATGATGCCGATCTTTCAGCATTTCCGGAACCACGGAGTAGGGCCCGTATGGCACACGGCGAGAAGAAAAACCTGTCTGCACCTGCCGCCTTCAACTCCCATGTGCACAAATAGCAAAGCCAGACATGGCGTGATGCGAGCGCGCATTGTGCAGATCTCGCAGGCGTTGTGTTATCCACGGTCTCTGTACCGTTTCTCGTGTAGCTCGTTGTCGGGAATGTACACTTCAAACGAGTCTGTCAACCAAACGACTCCTCCACCAGAGCCTGTCAAAGGTATATAAACCTCGAGACATCCCAGGTCACGATTGCAAGCCCCCGGGATCGCGCCATTGAACGACTCTAGCACTTCAGATATTCTCAGGCACATCTCGAGCATCATCGGATACTTGTTCCGCCAATCCCTTAAAGGCGCAGCAGCAAAGTTCAAGTCAGCAACCGCGCACGTTACGGAGGCTCTATATGGCGCGCACAGTCGTCGATTGACGATCTTCTCGAATGAAACTGCTCCGCCGAAAGCTCTGTGGACGGCATCTACAGTGCCCAGCAGTTCTTCGGAATTGATCGGACGCATCACTCGAAGTCAAAGAACAGAGCCGCAGCTTGGAATGGCGCATACGATCGACGCCTCGTGAATGGCATGCATTGCCCACTTAGAATCTTGCCTGTAGTGATTACAGAGTCGTTCGGTGTCACAGTTCCAAATAACCTTATCAATGACTGAGGATGAAAGATCACGCACACACGGAGTCTGAAAGTCTTGGAAAAGAGCATGCTCTTAATAGAGCACTGTCAGGGTTGAAATGTTGTCTACAGTAATCAAAATATAATTTGTTTGCGTTGTGCGGGGATTTGAACATTTCCGTTCCACGAGCTCCACGCATATTGAGCACGAGTATGTTCCAGCCTTGCGATAGCAGCGCATCGAGTATCTGATAGTCGAATTGACAGTTTCCCTCCAGTTTCCAACGGTTTGTGCTTTATCAACATTTTCAAGTAAGCTCTTGCACACCTTCAGACCAGAATTTTGTCCATAATCCCAGTACGCCACTCACGCACGCAATTGCGAAGCAGCTCGTCAGCACAACACTCCTCGCGGTTGACCTTAACGGTGCCAAATCCAGACACCGCACGCATCGCAGGCAACTTCTTTCCGCACATTTTCGTTTGAACGGCAGATGAAACGGCTCGAAGCGGATTTTTGCTATCGCCTCGCTTGGACGGACACAGCCTGGACAAAGCATCCAAAGCCGCATCCCTGGTGTAGAAACAGCAGTGCCACCGGTTTCACAATTGTTGACGTGAGACGTGCCTCCTGACGTCGACTGTAGACACGCGTTCTCTACGCACACGATACTCTGCTCAATACCTCCATCTACGAGCTCTTTCCGTACATCCGTATACTATCCTTGCGCAAACCACCGTTTTGATACTTCGCTACTAACCCGGCCCTGAGCCCGAGCCCACCTCGCTCGCACATCTTCTCAGTAGACGACCGGTGTCTGCGGGCCACCCTCCCTTATACTACCTGGCGCCTGCCCCGGACACGCATCTTCCTCGCACATACCATCTCCAACCACTTTCAGATGCGCTAAACTCGGTTGCCCAGATTTCTCGCCACCGTCTCCTGCAGCCGAGATTTTGGGCCTCCACGGGGGCGCCATGCCAGGTGCGCGGGTCCACTCTCAAACTGGATCGCAACCTCTACACCCCAACAAACCCGAGCGAAAGTCGCTGAAGTCCCTTCGATATGCACTTTGAACGTCGCGAGACGAACGCGCTACTCTTGCACCCTCACCCCTGCGTGGAAAGCGCGCAGGTGATATTGTCGGCACCACGCCGGCCGTCACGGCCACCACTGTACGTGTTTTCGATCGTCTCTTGTGATCCAATTTACGAAAATGTTTTCCGATTTCGCACGGTCTAGGGTACCCCCTGATAGCCTGTTTTGTTTTTATGTGGGAGCTGAAGATTCCAATGGTCTCCCTATAGGTTCAGGGAACACTGTAGACTACCCTTGCCTTGGGATTTCTTGTTCTTCTGAAATGTAATAACGAATGTCTATTGGACATGCAGTTTGCCTCATACGAGGCCGCCATTATTTCAAAAACATATACATTAAATCGAAGCATTATGAAGTCAGTGTGGACACCATTTCTTCAACGTATATGCCTCTGTTAATAACATCTTGCAAAACATCAGGATATCATTTGTGAATACACAGAAATACTAAGAATGTAATGAAGTTTGAATCTTCGGTTGATATTTTATAAAGGCCTTTTGCTCTCGACGATATCAACACATAACGTTTTGAGGTTGTTCAGAAAGGCGCATCTTTTAGGCATTCAAAAATTGGCTGGAAAAGACGCACAAATCTAACCAAACTCCACCCTTCTGTGACGCAGAAGTCAACTGCGGTGGCGAGAGTATCTTTTTCCTTCACGATGAGCAAACACAAGTCGAGAAAAAATAAGTTGAAAAATGACCTCATATGAGGCCACATGTCCAATAGACACTACTGTACTGTAGCTATCTTGTGTCTATTCGACGGAAAAATTGTCCTGAGAAAAGGCATGGAAATGCCTTTTGTAAGGCATACCGAAGGACTTGCTTCCGGAAGCCAAATTCCCTTCTGCACTCACCTTTCCCACTTATAGTAGTGCACTAGTCAGTCGCCCAAACGTTGCCGTCCTAGGACAGCCCCAACATCGGTTTGTGACCTGCGCGTTGCCAGGCGAAATGCATAATCACGGAAAATCAGCAAAGTCCGGGAGCCCCTCCACTTATCTAAACTTTTTATTAGGCACCGCAGCTATTCTTGACGTGTCCCCAAACTAATGGGCCTGTAGCTCATGTCTTTCGAAGCAATCGCGCCCTGTTCGAGCATGAGAAACGTATATCTCTTTGTGACCAATATGCTTGCAACTGCTACAGAGCCATGTAGTCTTTTTTCGACATCAAGCTATTGTGCAACGCCCTTGACGTCTTACATTAAGGCGCCCTGGTTTCGACGGTGGCACTTTGCTCGGAGTAAAGAAAATACCTGTGCCGCATTTTGGCGTATCGTAGCAATACCGCCCACCTGGCGAAGATAATATACAAGCCCGCCTCCCACAAAATCAAACCGATTGTCCACCAGCTGTGTGACCATCTGAGCCCAGTAAATATGAGGCTTGAGAATCAGTCGTCCGCTACACCCAAACTTGTACAGCAACCAGCTGTCAGTTAGAATCATTCCTAATAAAGATCTGTTGGCTCTAAAACTCCATTCTTTCACCTCAATAGATTTTTCCAAGTCCAGCGAGTCCTGCCTCACCCGGTTGTGCTGGTCGATGATTCCTGCCACTCGATAATAGTCGCTGACAACCTCAGGCATAGAGATAGATACCTCCACAGGGCAAGCACCATCTTAATACTGCCTCCATCGAACGCGCTCTTGCCAAACTTTTACAGAAAGCCTTCGAGTGGTCGCAACAAAATGACGTCGATTTCAATCAAGCCAGCACACTGCAGCAACCTCTTTCGTTTCGCCACCGCAGGTGAGCGATGAAGTAAGGCAGTGAAAGTCTCCCTTCTGTGCCAGCTCCTTCTCTCCAAAATAAGTGGTGGGAAATCGTTTAGTGGCTGTCTTTATCACACCAATAAATCGGAGATTTTTCTCAGCAGCGTCTCCGCTGCTTCCACGGAAGCAAAATAACTGTCGGCGCATACGATTCGCTCTTTGCCTGACCACGGCTCTGTAAGCTCGACCAATACTTTCGTGCCATGTCTCATATCTTGTACCTCGTTGATATCTGAATTTGGATCTCGTACGTTTTTATACTTCATAAGCTTAATGCTAAGTATTATTCCCGATGATCCGCACGCAATATCCTGCATCTCCAACCCGTACTCTGGCTTTCGATCGAGCTTCACGAAGTGAGGAGAACCTGCATCAATCCACGAATCACCGATTCCGTACCAACGCGATATTGACTCGTCTACACACAGAAAATGAGAGGGACGCACGTACTCTTTTCGATGAGCATTAATTGCATCGACGAACCCTTCACACAACTGCCATTGGTTTTCTTCGTTCTAGGTCTCTGAGGCTTCGTCTTGGCGACTAAAGCGAATAGTGGCTTTCAGAGCCTCAAACCTTTCCCTTGAAATCATTCTGCCAAATTTGTAGTTAGGGAGATACGATGATATTTTCGCAACCATCCACAATTCTCGGCGGTCCGAAAATTTACACCTCGTCATCATTACCAGCACTCCAAAGAAGCGTAGGATCTCACCACAGGTTGTAGTTTTTTGCGCACATTCAATCAGGCCAACATTAGTCAGCTGGACGATTATATGGAGATACCGAATGGAAACATCCACATAAAGTAGTCAAAAAGCTTCATACTGGCCGGAGCAGTGCCCTGATGAATAACTGTTCCGTTAGGACCTTTCACGTGGCATGAGATAGGATTGATCTCACGATTAAGCCAAGTTGAGGTAACATCCTTCTTCCAGCGTTGACCATGTGCCACGACATTGGATTCTACAATTGAGATATTATTAAACCGGGGTGCTGCGATTGTTTGTGTAACTTCAGTCGAGGTACGAGCTTCTGTAATTGGCAAATGATGATCTACCAGGTCGTCGCATGTGTTGAGACTGCCGTCACCGGGGCCTTGAATGCCTTGCAGTTGAGACAGCTGCTTCTTGTACTCACAATCAAGTGCCCAAAGTGGGTCTTGTGGAGGGTAAAGTGGCTGCCTATCTGGAATAGACGTTGGTCCAGCCTTCACAGCACCAATACCTAGCTCCAACACTTTCGATTTGGACTTCCCATTAACGGCGTACACAAAAATGCAGCGCACTTTTTTGTAACTCCGGCCATTCTTTACTTGTTTGTAGCACTTAATTACGCGGCCATCGAGCTTCTCCGTAATGTATCCAGTTCCAAACATGTTCTTTGCCTCGCTCAGCCTGAAAAGGCGACGAACAGGTGAGTGTACATGTGCCCCGGGGCTTTCGCGGCGATCTGAAGGCATTTTTGTCGCACTCTGAAAGTGTTGTCTCCTGCTTCAACTTCGAGGACCTGTAGCTCCCAAGCAAATGACATGATGGAGCACGTAAAGTGTATAACAGGGAAAGAGGGGTCTCTACAGTACTGTGTTCTACCTACTAAAGGTTTCCAGAACGATTTGCTTCCCGCCAAACCGAGGTTAACGGATGGGCCTTAATTAAGGCAAAATGCCTTAAAAAAGGACAATTGTCGAATAGACACTAGAAGTAGCTGTTTTAATTGAAGGAAGGAGAACAGAACCATGTGCTGTACGAGTACACGTGGCCAGGCCATAAACGTGCAAATTGCCAAATCCAAAAAAATCAGGTGTAGCGGGAGTCTAATAAATTGTGTCCTCATGTGAGGACAAGGTCGGTCGAATAGACCCTGGGTGCGCTCTGACGAACAGCACACACTCTGAATGCCGATGGTCCAGTCGTCATGACCAACTGCTCGGTTTATGAGGATTCTCGAAACACGGCTGAAAGCGGGCTTCTGCCGTCGTTCCCACGTATCGTCACACTACAAGGCAGGAGATTTAAATAATAATGACAGAATTATTCTCATATTCGTAAAAAGAGGGCCCCTGTACCTCCTCGTTGAAGGCTATATTCGTAGAGAAAAAATGTTCATTTTCGTCTTAGTGACTGAACAAGGACGTCTACTCTTTACTCAATTGTCTTTGCAAATAATGACGTAAAGCTTTATGCTTAGATGCTTTTTCGGGAGCTTCGCATGCGCACTTACGGTATCACTACTGTACCCAGTCAACATTTCATTTTTGCGCATCCAATTTCGTTGGATGCCCAATGTTACATCGAGCATCTCGCTTCCGTGTGGTACAAGGTACTCGACGCAGCCATCACTGATGAGTCGTGGCTTGGCATGGACGAACCAGATTGTAACACCTCACTTGTAGGGAAAAAGCCTCCTCACTTTCACCTCAGCGTCTCATCCTGGTGTACGCTATGATACCGTCATGAGCAGACATCCGACGAATGAAATTGCACCGTTCCAATGATTTGAGAATTGCATAAGGGCATAGACGCCCACCGCAAAATGAAATCTGTACCTGATCCTCTCATTCGCGCTGGGATTTACAAACAGATAACTCTCGCAAATGAGATCGTCCCCTCTGCGCACGCCTTGACATTCGAAGGGGGACGGATACACTTCCGCTTCATACTCCCTTTACCGCAGCATTTCTCGAAAGACTTGATTGAACAATGATGATTGCGTCTTGCGGAATTGAAGAAGCATGCTGTTCTCCATATAGCCCGCTACACGAAAAATTCGTCTTGCACAAAGACCTTCACACTCACTTATCTTGCCCTTCACGTTTCAAGCGAATATAGTCTCTCTCACCGTGTGTTTCACGTTGTGAGGTCTCATTGTGAGGTAAGCAGGATGTGGGACACCGAGCGGAGCAGAACGTCTCTCGAAGTAGGTTGTGATAAGTCATTCCCATTTCTGGAGCCGCCCGGCACTTCTACCTCCATGTCCTTTCGGAGACTCATCAAGCCATGGAGCAATGCGAAACAGTCCGCTCGAAGATATTCGCAGAGCAAGATGCTGAACGACGAAATTGCCAGAGATTCTGATGCCAGTGCTGCTCGCCGATGGGAAGAATACTGCGGCGGAGTACCCAAGGCCGAGAAGAAGAACGATTGCGATTTGAAGGACGTTTGGTTGCGCTTGAAAGAAGACTTTTCGGATCTTGTTTCGGACGTGCTCAAGAGCGCAGCCGCTGGCATTTCGAGGTCTGGCTTTTTGTGGGGAAATCTGGGAGGAGGGATGTTCGCGCAGTCGTATTTCAAGGCTGCGCAGGCTCAGCGGAAAGATTATTAAGAAGGTATGGCAAAGTTAAGCATCAATTGTGCTTTGGTCGCAGAAAAAAGTCCACAGGTCAACAGGGTTTTGCCATTAGTGATGATCTCTCCTTGCTTGTATATGCCAGGCTGGCCACGTTCAAGACCGATGAAGAACACACTCGTCAATAGCGAAGGAGTAAAGAAATTTTCATGTCGCGGCGCGGGTGTTTGTATGATAGGGAGTTGGCATGCATAGTTTGTGCTCCGTTCCTGGCAGATACCGTACAGAACAGTGAAGTTTATACTTTACAATACAGTAGTAGCTTTTATAAATGTTGGAGTAAAATGATCTTGCAAATTATGTTTGCGGGAAGGAAAACGTATCCGGTGATTCGACGAATATTGCGGATGACGGATAATGCTCGCATTGCAAAGGCATCGGCAGCTATAAACGTTTCTCGGCTTTAGGGATGTGGGGTTGGGGTTGGCATTTTCATGGACACATAGAATGGAGACGAGTGTTTTAGTTTTCATCACTGGAGCCAGGAACGACACGGCTTGTGAGACATTTGCTCTGAGGCCGATCAAAATATGCGCGAAGTCTGGAAGAGCGCAATCTTCAGGACGTGGTATAGAACACAGTAGAATGGTACTTGTAGCAAAGGAGAAATACTTGTTGAAGCATCGGTCAGCATGGGGGGTGCAAATGCTGCAGTGTGGTCAGTATGAGTGATCCTTCGCTTTTAGGTTGTCTCTTGAATGGGACGAGATAGCAACTTCGCGCGAGCATAGGCTGGCATCTCCAAAAATTGTGCTGCATGGATACACGACTATCGTTATGGTAGACACCCTTGCGTCCGCTTACTTCTAATACACGGGGACTGTCGAGTCAAGTAAAACGTTGGGACGGCAAAGCTGTCGTCGAAAGGGGCCTTGTGCTTCGCGTGCACTGCTCTCTGTACGATCAGAGAGCGGGGTTGGCGCGGGGGAAAAAGGGGGGAAAGGATAGTATGAGAAGGGAAATAGAGGGGGGGGTGAGTGATCCGGCGTTGCGCCTTCAAGGGTGAGAACGGGCTCCGGCTTGTGCCTTCGCAGACTAGAGTAGCGTAGAGTTGCTTGCTCGAGTTGTTTATTGTTCTGCCTCCGGGCGTGGGAAGCGCGGACGTGCGCGTAGTACATATAGGTCCAACTGTGCATGCACCGTTTGGATGGTGTTATCAGTGACCCTGAGGGCCTCCATATCAAATACGCCGTACAGTACCCTTCTATACCCTTAGAAGGGTACTGTATATAAAGTTTATGCGCGTGCGCGACAAAAGCCCAGGGGGGGGTTTGAACAAAAATCTCCCTCGAGAGCGGTGTACGTACACCCACAAGATGGATCGCTCCCCATTGTGGTTGTGAGCATAAAGCTCCGCAGAGGGCGCGAGGGACGGGCGGAGAATATTCTACGTGGAAAGGGGAACGGTGGCGGCACATCGAGTTTTTCGCAAAGTCCGCTGCATAGTATGCTTCGCGCGGGGCTCAGTTGAGAAGCAAGGCGGGAAACGTGGGGAGCGAGCACGCGGGTGCGACAAGGCAGATGCGAGATGGTCAGGCTGTGATGATGAAGAATGATGCGAAGCGACGGAATTCAGCTAAAGTTTACCATTGGTACTGTATGAATGGATGCCACGCAGTCACGTGACATGCCGGCGATTGAGCACCGGCGGCGACCGCACGATTACCGCAACCGCCGGACGGCAACGCCCTCTCGAGCCGAATGATTCTTCGACTGAATCGCTGCCAGTCACCTCCGAGGGGGCGCTTCTCCTCCGCCCCCACAACACCACCGATCTCGACAAACCTGCCTCCTTTCCCTCCCGCACACAACCGCCGCATCCCCCCGCCCCTCCCCCACCCTCCCACTCCCCCCTCCACCATCCCGCCACCGCACACATGAAGGTCACCGTGCCCAGCGACAGCCGCAGCCAGACTGGCAAGCACCTGGTCAACCTGCTCATGGCCGGCGCGCACAGCGTCACTGTGGCTTCCCCACGCATCGAGCACGAGCGCAGCGTCGACGCCCCGGAGAAGGAGCTGCGCGCCAGCGCGGAGCCGGCCCAGCGCCCGCGCGCCATGGCGTCCGAGCCGAGCGGCATCGCCACGGATATGTGAGACGCCCTCAGACGCAGAGCGCGTCTTGCTGCTGCGCGCACGGTCTGCGGCTCAGCTTACCAGCTTGCTGCCTGCGGGCTTGCGCGCAGGTTTTGAGAGATGGCAGGCTCCCTTTTTGTATGTAAGCGGCGCTTGCCAGGCTTCCTTTTCGATGCCGTTCTCCGCTTCTTGTATATCACGCGTTTGCAGGACGACCGATGTCCTGCATTACAACGCAAACTTCGCATCCATTTTTGACATTGCACTCCGCAGGCTTATCATGGTCATGTATACGTTGTCTTACCATTACCACTCGACTTTTTCTGGTTAATCATGTATTGCTCCGAAGTGGGTCACTGCCGACGCCCGTTTCAAAGCCGCTTCGTGTTCAAACCGTGACTGTGTTCGCGAAAATGAAGCTTTGTCTTGTAGACAGTATATTTACTAAGCAAGATGAGCAGGGAGGAGGTCCGGACAAACTTCCCCAGTAGAAACTTCCCTGCCTCACGCGCACCATTATTCATTAAATCACCTCAACATCATTTTTGCCAACTCGCAACCGAGTCTTCATTTTGAGGAGAAACTATGCTCGCTCCAAACTTGGGCGAGTGAACCCACTTGCCTGTTAGAAAGCTTCTCCTGCATCTACATACGCCCTCGTATTTCGTCGAGAATTAGAAACATTGACACGGTGATTTTTTGTTGCGTTCCCAGCTTGCATATCAACAAGAGGAATCATACAACTATAGTAGGGCTGCGAGCCTGGGATACGCATCTCTAGAGTTGAAATGAAGAGGGATGCTCAACTTTACGAGTGCGTCATGTTCCCCATAGAGTTGCCTGTCTCCGACAATGCAGTTTCATGGCAGGATCATAATATAGCGCAGGCAATACGACTGCCAGGGGAACCCAAACCTTAAGACACCCACACTTGTTACTACAGCTTCACGGAGGAGCGGCTCGCTGGGTGTTGCGTGGAAGGATGTGGCAATGTTTCACCAGAACGAAAAAAAAACGTGAGGGTTATGGTATCTCGCCGGACGGCGCGTCCAGCACATCGTTGTCTCTGTCGCTAATAGTCTGCACTCACTTCACCCCAGGAAAAGGTTCTCACCCTTCTTGGAAAACCTTTTTGCTCCTCTGCTCCCGTATGTTCTAGCCTTCCTCTCCTTCCTGGAATCTTTGACAAACACTCTGTTTTATCTCCCCGCCATGACGCCACTCACTGATGTATGTATTGCTGGCTGTACCAATCTCAAGTTCGCTGCCTCAGCCCTATGCTTCTTGTTTAACACTGTCGTACAGGCTGGCGCTGAACAGAAGGAGATGATTGCGACCATCGTCGCCTTTCTGTTTGCGGCACTACATTTCATCCGGAAAACTACGGTTGTGGCACTTTCAAGTGCTTTGGAAGCGCACTTTCATGCTTCACTCTCACCGGGGATTACATACACAATGAAACGCAAACAGGCGAGACGAGGAAGCCAGGGAGCACCAAATTCTGCTAATAACATCTCAAACGAGTTAATGGTTGCCGATGAACTCATGGGCAATCGCTTGTTCTATGGACGTACTCATTGCGTTTTGTAGTTGCACGACGTTGAGAGAAAAATGCAATCACGGCAAGGCAACGTGTTTCGTCAACGCACATCTGTACCATCGACATCATTCTGATACAAATATCTTCTCGTGTTGCTTTGCTTCAGTCCAATTGTGCCTAAACTGCAGCAGAGGTCGCCCCAGCCCAAGGATGTATGGATTCCATGGTTTGTTCCATTTGAGCTCAAGGCCAGGGGGGTGCATCAACCATTTTTAGGTTTCATCAGAACCAGACCACCATTCATCTGGTTGAAAACTATCCAGCAGTACGAGAATCGAAGAGGTGCTATGGCTAGTTGGGTTCTGGCCCCTGCCAGTGTGCAGTAGAGGATAGGAATGTTTCCTGTCTCTTATCCGCCAAATTGATACGCAGGCGAGGCTTGCGCACCATCCTGGCGTACCGTTTCAAGAGTTTGACCGTGCCAGAGAGACGTTGGGCTGAATGAGTCTCTCTCTCGAAAGCCTACGAATATGACTGGCAAAGTGAACGAAGGAAAACGAAGAGAAGCAGGGTAACGATTTGGGGCCAATGACATTTGAATCTGGGAACTGAACGATTGAATGGAAACCCCAAGGAACCTTTTTACAGGGCATTGGCGGATGCTATATGATAGAGGCGAGAACGCTACTCTCAATGACAGAGTAATTCAATTGAGTCTCGTTTGCAAGTTGCAAAGGGCTGTCCGAGAGGGATTTTGTAGAAATCCATGTTGTCCGAATACGACTTAATTGCACAAAGTATGTACTTCGAAGTAGTTTGAAACGGTACCTATCTCGCGCACGTTACAACTTCTGCCAATTTCGTGCCAGTGCTGAATGTACAACCTGTGTACCCGAATTCGTGGACAGTTTAAAAGCATCAGCTCCGCCGATCACATTTTCTGGCCATTTTGGTATTGCTTCAAATCCATAAGCGAGCCATCGCCGCGTCTCGCCAGCACTCACTTTCAAACATCTCTTCTCACGACTTTAGCAGTCCACATATTTTCAAAGTCACATCAGACGCCATGTCAACTGTGCACGCCACCAGAACATGCGGAATGACAGTTTGGGGCACAAAGAACTGCTTGTAGAGGCCATGATTGTGTGCTCCCTCCTTTGGCCCAAATGCTCTTGCTGGGTTCCAAACAACACAGAAATCAATTCCTGTCGTTGTCTGATCTCGACACTCCTCGACTCTTTCAATTGCAGTTTGCCATTTTTTTCCCATCCGCTTCATGCATACATAATATTTTGAGTGAAAGAAAACTTGGTATACGAAGTAAGCACTGAAAATTAGAACTGTTAAGTGAAAAGGTACTGTGCAGTCTCATGTAACAGGAGCTTTCAGATCTGATGCAGAACCCTGGGACGCAGGGGTTATATGCTGACCGCACGATGAGGAAGAGAAGCTATTATCTGTTCAAAGATGCTGACCTCAAAACAATACACAATTGGTTGTGAAAGAGGCCTTGGCTTCTCAAACGCCAGGAATTGCAGAACGTCAAGGAGACTATTTTTACGTTTTAAGTAGAAGTTTCAGTGTAGGACGTAGGGGGTACGTTCGGTAGTTTTGTGATGCTTCTCATCTCATGTCAAGATCAGCAATGTTCGATGAAAAGTTGAGTTCGACCACTGGGCAAGCTGTGCACGTGATGAAAGCATTGTTTGATGTTAGATTTGTGCAGCGCGACTTTTCGATCACGTTTGCAACAGGCGGTGATGAGTTTGAAAACTATGCCTTTCCTGTTTGCAGAGCTCGTTGTGCAGCAGAAGTTAGATAAATTTACGGTGGTGGGTTTATTGGGGTTTAACAAGTCTGCTATTGATTGCCACGCAAGTTCAGAGAGGGAGGCGACGAGACCTATGAATACTGTACGATCGTATCTACATGGCACCGTAGTACACGGGTAGGCTGTCGCCGGCGTAGAAATGGGGCGGATGTACATCAGAGCTTGAAAATAAATACCCCTTCCTCCTTATACTCGTCCCGAAATCTACTTCAATGGTTCCAGACGGAGAAATTGCAACGGGACGCAATTCAAGCCAGATAATCAGAATTGTCCAGGCGTAAACCCACTGAATTGAATTGTCTAGGCGTAAACCCACTAATAACTCTTCATCATCAGCGGCTGGCCGGGCTATTGTCACGCATTGGGGGGAATTTCTGGGGGATGTTTCGAGGACAGACTGTAAAGCAGGGAAGTACTGGGGGGTATCCAAATACAGACCCCAGTGCCTTTACGAAGCAATCGATGTCGCCTTTCTCGAGTCTAACCGCTGGGCGATGAAGGCAACTATGTATCCCTTGGGTAACATCAGGATACAAAATCGTTATCGTCGTCATGTCCGAGCATTGCTGTTGTAAGCCAATCTCAGATCCAATGTTAAATCTGGGCAAAAGATTTCACCAGATTAATTATTATTGAGAAAGCATTTTCCTTGCGTGTCTCCACAGATCATCTTCATTTTCCGGCTCCGCATCATCTTAGCCTGCCCCCTACCCACGTTGGTAAACTTAACGTACCTGAGGGTACGTGCCAACGTGGGTCCACTGAAGCGCCATCGCAGGAGAGACGCTTTTGTATCTCTCCTGCGATACCGCGACGTGCTGCATCATGTCAGTAACAAAACCTACAAGGCGGTGCGCCCTCTTCCCCATCCCTTCCCCACTATCTCGGACACCAAGTGTTCTGAGGTCCTGCTCGCTTACGTCATCGCCATCCGCACGTACCTCTCTAGAAGCACCTTCAAGTTCATCTTTCCGCCATGTCCTAGAGCATGCGTCGTATGTGTCGTACTCTGACCCACTCTCCTCGCTGTCCTACATCTACACACACCGTTTTACCCCGCGCTTCAAGCCGCTGGCGACGGCAAGAGGCGTTTATGGCGGTCGTTGAGCTGTTGCTCGCTTTGCCTCACCCAATCCGCTTGTTATGGGGTCACTGCTCCTTCGCGTGTTACTAGGAATTTCGCGCCTCCTGGTGAGGCAGTGGAGCGTGTCCGTTGAAATGAATTTTGAAAGCCGCGGGAAGAGCTCGGCTTTTTGACCGCTCTCACATTCATATTCCAGGCGACTTGCTTATTGCCGCGCCAGTATTGGCGACTGATCAAGAGAGACAGTGCTAGAAGAAACATGTGATGAGAAGCCTCCCGCCACGGCCCCAAAACGCCAACGACAAGTCGTACCGCATGCTATTGCCTAAACTGTGAGTACTACTATATGCCTCAACATATCGTGGAAGTCTGAAAACGCAAAAGCATCCATTGCTTCATCTGCGTGAATGAGCAAGGGAAGGTCCAATAATTCGAAAGTTCCTAGAATTCGAAAGGTCCCATAGCTCAACGTTGCGGCACTGAACTGGGATGATGTCCGTGCGTTTGACACACATGCAAACCATATTTCGCAGTCGACAATGCTATGGTTGAACGCACGGACGACTAGAAATCCGCGGCAAGAAGCAAAGTTGATCGAGCCATTTTCTTACAACAAGCGCGACAAGCAAGTGCGACAGGTAAACGACAACGCCTGCGTCGATGAGGTCCTGTAAGTTTGTACAACGTTGTCTTCGCTGTTTGCGGAGCTCGTGGAATCGTCGTCTTTGGGTCTGTCGACATGCTTTCCGCCTCTCAGCTTGTGCTCAATCCTCCGTGTACTTGGGGATAACATACGTGCATTCCCTCTTCACATGCGCACGTGAAGCCGCGCCAGGCTACAGAATAAGCGGAGAGGTGGGGCAACGCAAACAGCAACGCGATGATCACCGTAACCATCTTCTTGCCATCGACGTCAGCTTGAATGACTGTGTAAGATATTAAGTAGAGAATTGGGACAGAGGTTGAGGCAGATTGCGACGCGCACATTAACAGTCCGTAAACTATTTTGGCAAACATAAACTATTTTGGCGACGCCTGCTTCCCCTTTTTGCCGCACTTTTCCGAAACCGAGTCACCCGGATCCGCCCCCGCCACTTGCTAACCTTGGTAGCTCTGTGACTGATTCCAACCTGCGCGCGGCTTTTCTGTTTTTACCGCCATTCGAAAGCCCATTACTTGCGCTTGTCCGCCAAAAATCCAGGCTGTGCCATGCCATTACAACGTAATATGCTTTTCCATATCGATCGATAGCCGCCCATCATCGCCATTCCGGAAAAGTGCGGCAAAAAAGGGAAGCAGTGCGTTCCCAAAATAGTTTATGTTTGCCAAAATAGTTAACGGACTGTTAGAAAAAAGAGTTTTTTTCGGGCCACGGCCATTATTTGAGGTTGCCAAATTAGTTTCCATGCGATTCAGACCTGTAAAAGGGGTTCATTTAAGTGACTTCATTCCCTTGCATGAACACATGATGTGATTTCGTTACCGTTGTAAAGCTTTATGCGCGCTTTATGTGTTCATTCAGCTTTAAAAAGTCAAAATCGGTGAAGGACTTGGTCAGATACGGCCTTTTCACCAGACATGCCTAGAAAAAACGGTCACTTGCCACATTTTATCATGAACTGTTACGTACGCTGCGACATATTGGGGGGATGAACTCACAGGTCTTCGAGGCGGTATACGGGAGGAAGGCTGCGACGTAGGCGGACAGAATGACGTACACGTAGCCTTCGAGATGGTCTTGCACCATGGTTTAGATTGGGTGGGCGCAGGCTGTTTAAGGGACAGGGAAAGGGCAGGAACGAGGTTGTGTGACACATCCTCGTGATGCGAGATTGGTTCGCACAACTTGTGTGTGGAAAGTCATCTGGCATTTTGGCTGCTTGTCCACCACAACGTGGATGAAACAATTTGTCCATTTGTTTAACCAACGGTCCTCTCTGAATTGATCTTAGCAACGGAGTGGAGCAAGAGCATCGTCCACAGAGATGAAGGTTTGCGGTTATTTCCAGATTAAATATATTTCCCAATTTAGAGCATCTCCAACGGGCAGGCGTAATGCAATGTTAATTTGTGACAGGTGTCATCACTAGAGTGGCAGATGTAAATCGGCCTCACGATTTGGAGAGATGCGCAGACATCATCCCCAACAGGACACGGCCGGCGACATGTAATGTAAACGAAGGAGGCTTTGAGAGTGCCTCTACGCGGTGTATGGAGGCTTCGTATTCGATTTCTTCGAGCTCTTCGAGCTCTTCAGACTCTTCGAGCGTGCTTGCCTCCGAAAACCGCGACGCTTTGTTCCAAGAGATCGAAGATGAGGTCCTCCTAACTCCAGCGCATCGTTTTACGCTCGCACCTGGTGCAATGTCCGCGATGGGGCAGGCGGCCCAACTGTTCACCTCTCTCCCGCAGCCTCACGGGGGATCAAGAAGCGACCGTTCTCGCAACGTTCAACGCAATTTCGATGATGCTGCGCGGCTCATCTGCCTCGATTGGTTCTGGGGGTTGGATGAATTCAACCCGAAAACCAAGCAGTTCGGACCATGATACCCGGAGCGCACATTTGAGCGTGTGTGGCGCATGCCACGTCGATGCTTCGATCGGATTATGGATCGTCTGACTGCAGTAAATCCTTTTTTCCAGTTCCGTCCAAATGCGTGCGGCGTCGGTGCACACCCAGTTCAGAAGTTCACGGCTGCGTTCCAGATGCTCACCGTTGGCAGCTCAGCCCAGCAGACCGATTTGTAGGCTAATATTGGAGAGTCTACAGCGATCATGTCGTTGAGGCAATTCTGCCAGAGCGTCGTCAAGGAAGTTGGCCCAGAGTATCTACGCGAGCCCACCGAGACCGATCTGACAAGAAATCTAGCAGCGTTTGCGGATCTCGGGTTCCAGGGATGTATTGGGGCTCTGGATGCGCTGGATGGGAGTGGAATAATTGTCCGAAGGCGTGGAGTGGGATATTCTGTGGTAAAGAGGGAGTTAATACCATTCGCCTTGAAGCAATATGTGACCCTGATACGTGGATTTGGTCGTTGTTTGCCGGTCTTCCAGGGATGATGAATGATTTGAACATTCTGGCGCAGAGCCCACATTTCGCTCGCGTTTGCGCCGGGCAGTACCCTCCGTACGACGTTGACATCGACATTGGTACATACAAGCTGAAGTGGTTCTACTATCTCGCGGACGGCATCTTCCCATACTGGAAGATTTTCGCGAAGATGATTACGCTTCCACGCTCTCCCAAAGAACGGACCTACTCTCGGGTTCAGAAGGGTGTACGAAAAGTGGTGGAGCGCACCTTTGGCATTCTTTTTCAACTATTTCACATCCTCACTGTCGGAGCCCGAGCTTGGTCCTGCGAAGAATGCGTCAGTATTATCACCTGTTGCACTATCTTAGACAACATGGTAGTGGAGAAGCGTAGAGATGTTACGTACACTCGAAACGGGTTTGACGGCCGTCACCTTAGCGCAGACGAAACGGCAGAGCTGCCAGACGGCTTCGTGCTTAATTCTCGTGTATAAATCCCGAGAGAGAATCTACTGCCAGCGGCCGAGGATATAGAAGACTGCTCGCTTCACAGCGAGCTTACTGCTGCTCTGGTGGAACATATATAGGAGAAGATCGGATCGGGATTACCTTTAGACGATGATTGACAAACAAGTTTGATGTTGTAAAACACGGACAAGTTGTATTGCAACCACTTCTAACATTGTAGGGTATTTGACGAGAGGATCTGTAACAGTGGAGCCGTGATTCTGAGGCAAGGCGGTGAGAATGCGAAGGGCCAGGACGCGCTGGCCGAGAACAGTGGAGCGAGTGAGGAGCAGCAGGTCTGCGAGGGTATAGCCTGCGCTTGCGGGCTCTGCGCCATGGTGGTGAAGCCCGAGGTGGTTTGGAAGGTGGGCGATTTGGTGTGGGTTGAGGTAATGACCCGTAAGGTCAAAGTGATGGGAGGCCAGGGGTCCTAGGGCGTGCAGAGCTTTAGACAGAAGGGAATCGACTGAGGCATCGCTTTGGAGCGGGACGCAAGCGTCGGTCATCCAGAGATGCTTCTGCTGCTCGACGTGGTCGTTCGCGTACAGTGGGGTGGATGGGGAGTGAGAAGCGGAAACTGGGATGGGGGATGATGTGGGGCGCGAGCAGTTCTTGAGGAGGAAATGTTGTCCGGGAAGAGTACGGAGGCGATCTCGCGTTGGGCATCGAGAATTTGTTCTGATGTCATGTCTGCGATTTGCTGATCGACTGTGGACGGCGCGGAGGGAGGTGATCTCGGTTGGGACGGATTTTGGATGGGAGGGGAGGCAGCAGAGCGGTTTATGGCGAACTGGGACACGGGAGCGCTGACATGTGGGGAGTGGGGGAAAGCGGGTGGGGGTGGGGGAAGCGGGCGGGCGTCGCCTACGCCTTTTGGTGGACTGATCGCCCTTAGACTTGGCGCAGGCCTTTGCAAGCGGGTCGATTAGGATTGCAGTACAACTTGTCCTTCTATTCAAACTATATACCTCCAACGCGTCGGGGACGCTGGACAGGGCGTGTCACTTCATCAAGGCGTGCTGTCGTCGTCATTAGCAGGTTCAGGCTTTCCTAAGACATCCGTGATAACATTTGAAGACATGATCTTCTCACGCAGATGTGCAGGCGTGTCGGCTCGCATCGCTAATTTGAACATCGTATCAAAACGCTTGCTCCTAATCTTCTCCTCGCTCAAGCGCACCTTGTCCTTGTGCATGAGTTCCTCCTGGCGGATACGATCCTCAATTATCTCGAGCTTGGTCTTGGCTGTGTTCAGATCTTCTTTCGCTATTTCGCTCTGCATCTCCGTAGCCTCCGCCATCTTCTCCATGGAATCAGCCAGCTTGCGCGTTGTTATTGCGTTGGCGTTGGTAGTCTTCTGCCTCTTGTTTCCTGTAGGACGTTGAACGACGGACGACTCTGCGCCATCCGGTTGCGCGCCAGTCGGCACAACGGGCTGAGGCGGTGTCGTGTTTCGACTGTTGGCAGAGCTTCCGGACGTGGCCGGTGGCGCGGCCTCGTGTGCGTCGAAGGCAGAGGCCATAGTCAGAAAGTCATTTGGTTTGACGACTGCGTTGCTGCGCCGCGCAGCTCGCGCAGCAGATGTTGCTTGAACACCCTTCGATATGTGCTTCATTAGGTCCCGTTGTTTCAACCAAAGGTAGACGTGCTTGAACTTGAAAGCTGGCTCTGGCTCTTTGAAATTATCGCCTGCATACCTGTACAGCCCTCTGCCAATAGGTTCCTCGTTGTACACTGCGATAGCCATGCGAAGCATGTCAGCTTCACTAGGCCCTCCAGTAGGACCCCATGCCTCAACCTTCAAGATACACCCATGGAGCTTTTGCGACTCCTTCTTGATTTCTTTGTAGTGTTGAATGACCGATGAAACGGTACGATGCTCCCAGGTCCCTGGGGATTTGCTAGTACATCATCGCCGCGGTGGCGCTTTGCTTCCAGAAGCCAATTCTTCTCAACGGAAGCACGGAAGACATGGAACTTCTGATCATTCCCATTGACCGAATTTGTAGACGCTCGTATGAACGCACGCGAGGCACCGATGTTCTCCTCTTTGCTGTATTGCTTTCCTCGCCCCTTCCTTCCGCTCCTTGCAGCAGACTCCACATCGAGTAGCACCACAGTATCATCATCTTTGGACTTGTCGCTTGCCGGTGTTGATGAGATGGCGGATGAGTCGGACTCAATCACTAGAGGGCTCATGCTGTGTACGTGGAAAGAAATCGCCTCGTTTCCTGCAGGCGCTTTGCTACGCTTCGTGCATGTTGAGAGAGGGATGGCCTTCTCGGGTCAGCTTAAGTACCCGAAAGCTTCCAACGATGCCGCAAAAGCGGTCCAAAGTCACCAGGAGCGCGCAGTGCGCGCTCCTTGTAACTTTGGACCGATTGTACGAGAGGGGTCTGTGTCTGTTCCTGGCAGGAACAGATACAGAACCCTCTAGTGCAATGCAAAATCGCGCGAAACGAGCCAGCGAAGAAGCA